CCGCCGCCGGGCTCAGCTCAGCTCCTCTGGGCGAGACGTCAAAGGCTATTTCGGGCAGGGAATCAAGAGCACTGTCTCCAGGGAAGACAGCCCGGCTGCCTCTCACGTTCCTGTAGTGGTACCTCCTATCGCTGAACCATTTTCGAACCTCTTTGGTGGAAAGGCCCGTGATTTTTGTCAGCCGCTCGACTTCGGCCTGGCCAGGGAACTGGTTTCTGCAGAAGCTGCCTTTCAAGGCTGAGAGCTGCTCGTGGGACTTCTTGTTTTTGTACACGTTGGGATCCAGGAAGGTCTGCGAGGAGATGGCTGGGCAGGCAGTAAGCAGCGACTGGCCGCTGTTGACCACCTTTACCCCTGACGTGTTGCTGGAGCTCACCGTGCTGTGCTGTGCTGCTGGCTGTGACTTGGGGACAGAAGTCACCGCCAAGGTGAAGGAGGAGCTGGTGCCCTTCAACCCATTTGCCATGATGGGCTGCGTGACCAGCAGTCCCCCCGTGCCCTCTGGCTGCCCCACCACGTGTCCTGGTAAAGTCGCCTGAATAAGATGGGGGACGCTCCCAGGATTTGCAACCAGCGGTGTGTTCAAAACTGTAATGGTAGGTTGTGGCACGGACTGAATAACAGTGTTGAACATCTTCTTCCTGGCGTCTTCAATCTCCTCCGGTGACCAGCTGATGCCCTGCTTCAACCTCTGGGCAGTGAACCAGATCTTCAGCTGCTCTTCTGGGTACTTTGTCACCACAGTCAAGTAGCAGAGCTCAGCTTTTGTGGGGTAGGGGAACTTGTGGAAAGAGTTTTTGAGGAAGCTGTTGGAGTCCATGGCAGCATTGTACGTTGGAATGCTGCTCAGGGGAATCATCACCTTGGGAAGGGACTTGGACGTAGGTAGCTGCTGATGCAACGGGGGCTGCTGCTGCAGTGACACAAGTTGTGCAACACCCGTGTGCAGAACAGGCACATTTCCTATGATGGAGCCATTCACTATATGAGATGATTTTGTTGAACTTGCAGTAGGCTGGCTGACTGGCACGGACCCATTTGGGAATGAATGCTCTCCGTCTTTCACCTCTGACTCACTGCCCAGCTGACTTGACACATTCTCCTTCAGCATGTGGATTTTTTTGGCCTCTGGCTTACCTTTCATTATCTTCATGATGGGGGTTTTGGTAATGATAATTTCAGACTGGCCATCCACCCCTTCTTCAGGAAGGTCATGGCTGCTGGCTGCCTCACAGAGACTTTGCTCCACAGTTGTATGATTGTCCTGCTTAGCCACCCTCCAGATGAAGCTTGTTTCACCAGCGTGTGACTCTGCATTGTGGTGCAAGAGCCCTTCATGGCTATTTGCAAGAAAGTGGCACACAACACATGTAAACGCAGGGTCTTTACTAAAGTCTAAGTGCTCAGAGTCCAAGTGCCCAAAGAAGTGATGAACGTCTTGAGATCCAAAGTCACAAGACCTGCAGATGTAAGTGTCACTATCAGCAATACCGCGGTGCCCATTAGACAAAGATCCGTTATTACTGTTACTGGCACCAGTATCACCAGCTGCTGGCCCTTCTGCAAGAGCATCTTGTTGCGTTCCTTCACGATCATTTTCTACAGCATCCAGTTCAGTCTCCTGAAGCACCAGTGTTTTTACTGGTATCATGCAGGGAGTTGTGGATTTTCTTTTGCTAGCCATCACTACAATTGATCCAGATGATTATTTTTTCTTTCACTGAAATGAAATTAAAATTTAAAAAGCGCTATTGTAAGTGCTCTGTGGTGTAGATCCAGCAAATTCATGATGTCCCAGAGTTGTTGTCAAATGTTGACAAATGGTCATATGTGCCACTGAACCTGAGGACAAGGAGAGGGAGGAGGGGTTAGTTGCCTTGGCATTAGACAAAGCACAACTGTCCTGGTATTTAACTGTTTGACTTGATAAATCATTTTCAGCTTCTTTCACTGGAAAAATTTAACTTGACCTTGGATTTACTGTATTTTCACACATACAGCCTGTGAATTACCTGTTCAAAAACAAACACACAAACATGCTTCTTTTACAGCCCACATCAAATTCTCATCTGAGGAGGAAGAATGCCAAAATTTCCCCTCGCCCTGCCAAGACCCATCACCAGTATTTTGACGGGGAGAACCATGCCTGGGGTCCCTGTGCACCCAGGCTTCCAGCTCAGCAGCACACAGGAGGTGATACCAGGCAGGGTCACCTTGGGAAAGCCACCTGCTTTCCATCAGAAAAACCTGATGAAACATTTTCCCCACAGAACATTTTGATTTCTTCAAAATCAGCATTTTCCAAACATCCTATCAGGAAGTTTCTCGCCAGATTAAAGCACCACGCCCATGCCAAGGGTCTCTGCCTGCATAGATGCAGGGAGCAAGAAGGCTGCAGCCAGGTCCATGTATTTTAGCCTTCCTCGCTCAACAAGCCCGCAAAGCATTTGTGAGATTCCCTCCCCACCCCATGTATATTTCGTTACTGTTTAACAGCATCTGTTGAGTCTTCGTCTGGAGCTGCAAGAGAAGGTAAGGCCCCAAAATTCAAGGGCAGCATCACACACATGTTCCTGGCTCCCAGCCTTCCCCTCCCACCACCTTTGCAGCTTTTGGCATTCACAAAACTCAGTGTGCTGAGGGTATTTTTCTCTGCAACACAAGCCCATTTTGCTGGGGTTGGGGTGACCAGAGATCTGTCACATTAAAGAAAAAAAAAAAAAAAAAAAGGAATAATTTTTTCTATTCTTTCTTTTTTATTTTCCCCTGAAGCTAAAGCAGTTCCCAAACTGCTCCAGCCTGTAGAAGGCCAGGGCATTAGCCACAACCTTACTCCTAGCCTGATGTAGCTTTGCCATCTGCACAGCAGATGCTCCGTGCCCAAGATCACGACCCGAGGGCAGTAAAGCTGTCTGCTGCAGCTGGCATGAGGAGGCACTTGCCCGGTAACGCATCCGGATGACAGGGAAGGCAGCACATCTGAGGGAGCACATCTGCCTTAACCCCTCTGTCAACCTTTTATACAGCAACTCTGCCTTTTTTCTTTTAAACACAGGGTTAAAATGGTATTTTTCCAGACTGCAAGGTCACTTGGAAGCATACAGACGCACTGATTTGTATTACAAAGACTCAGTGCCAGATTTTCCTGGGATTTACAGTAACAGCGACAGAGCTTTATAAAAAAAACCTCATAAAAACTTGAACTTAAAAAAGACAAGACCAACTTACCATCCTACCAGATGACTCACAGAGGTAACTCCTATCAGTTACAGCAGTTGTGCACCAGTAGCTTTCTCATACCAGATATTCTGAGCTGATCTCATGCACTGCAAAATGCAGATCGGGCAAATGACTTCGTGGTGCTTATGCAATACCTCCTCTGCTTATTTTTGTTGGTAGCTTTTAGAACAGAGGAATGAAAGGTCCTAAAATGCAAAAAATCAAATGGAGGAAGTACAATTTGACCTCCGTAACTTCATTAGAAATTTTTTTAAAAATTGTTCTGAAAGCTGACATAATTTTTTCCAAACAGGAGGGCCTAGATGGCAGACTCTGGCCTCAGCAGCTCTCAGGCACTGTTTAAAAGACCGATGGGAAAACGTAACTTCCCGTTAATGTGGGCCGATCTGAGATTACAAAACAGTCCTGTAAATAGTGTTAGTCATCACTGAACTTGGCATCAGAAAAGACTGTTTCCTATGCTAAAGCCTCGTGAAAAGCTAGAAATTATAACTTTAAAAAAATCTATAAATAAAAAAGGTATTAAAGCTGTGATCTTGATTTAGACAGTGCGAACTGCATGCTCTCAATACGTGCTTTATGCCACTCTCATCCCACCTTTTCCTGGTTAGTCTTTCCCTCTGCAGAGGGCCAGAAAGTTATTCATTAGCATTAGCAAGTCGAATACTTGGATGACTATGAATGGGCTTTGCTATTCAGAGGGGAACAGCATCCATTTGACACCAATCCCAAGATCCTCATTTTTGATGCTAAGTTAAATATTACACAATTTAGCAGGGTACAATGACCTTACCAAGTTGAGTCAATTGGGAAAAAAACCCGTAAGACCAGCCTGAAGGCTACAAAATGTAGCTTTAAAGGCTGAAAGGCATTTCATGTCAGGGAAGCAACGGTAAAAGGGACTTCTTATTTAATTTTGTTCTGCAGCTCTAACACAGCGCAGGGAGAGACTGCTGGGGCCTCTGCAAGCTTCTTCATTTCCAGCAAACTCCTGATAGAGGTCCAGTTCCAGAGTCTCCATTACTGAGACAGCTCAAGTCCCAGACGGATCTCAACCAGCGTTTATGGAGTTGCCACATATCAAAAAGATGATTTTTATCTGTCAGAGTAAATTTGATACAGAGTGACTGAGATACACAAAGACTCCCACTGTGCCACGTTAACAGAGTGCCTCTCCCAAGCACACCGTCACTATTATTTTGTGTAAACATGAATGGCCTGACCCACCTATGGAGAACCTAAAAGCTCTGCATTTCATTTACCATCACATTTGCATCAAACTCCATGCTCTCTCCAACAAGTTTTGTTAAAAATGCAATCAAAGCAGCCCCAGCCACCACAGCTCTCCTGCTGGGGCTCCAATATTAATGCCACCTAAGAACACAGATTGCAAATTTAGCTCGAAGTGAATCACAGCACCAATTTACTGGGAAAAGAAATATTAATCAAGTGTACTATTTGTCCATTTCATTTCCATGGAACAGTTGCATAACCACATGTTCCGAGCATGTTTTATTCACTGCTCACCTTCCGGAATGCACTAATACTTTAATACACCAGTAATATATAACAGAATGGATAATTCACTGATTTCTCTGTCATTAAAGTAAGCAAGGCTGTTTTAATGGGTAGGGTAAATTAATGGCAGAAAAATTAATCAACTAATAAACAGCCTTACAATGAAGCTCAGTATACGACCACTGCAAATGCCTCAGACCAATCGGGATGGCCATGTATTATTTTATGATTAACTGGAGCAAAGAGACATTAGCTGAATGCTGAACCCAGCAGCCAGGAAGACAAAGGGATTGTACTTAAATTCATGGTTCCTATTTAATTTATACCTGCTAATTGAATAGTGAGGTAGCAGAGTAAGCACATCAAATGACCTATGCACCTAAACCTACCACTGCTGTTGGAAATTTGAGGGAAAACTGACTTGAAGCAGAGTCAAACCAATTTGGTCCCAGTAATGCTGAGAGAAACTAATGCTGGAAGGGAAGGCAACCCAAAGGCTCCTTTGGCCAGGTTGGATCCCAGTCCAGCACGTGGCTAGGAGTACATTTCTCTCATATCTAAAGCACCAGGAACTGGCCCTGGGGCTGATGTGTGTTCGCTCACACGACAGCAAGACAACTGTGCACACCTCGCTCCTGTGACAGGGCAGAGCAGCCCGGCCTTTGCACAACCCAAGTGAACAGCCTGGGTTCGGTTGTGGTTCCCCATCCTTTGACATATGGCCGTGACTGCTTGTCTGCACAGCTCCCAACTTAAAACAGTTAAAAAAAAAATCACCACAGGAAAGCTCTGCTCCACTGGTAGATGCAGTTTTACACTGTCGTCACCACATCATGGCTACAGGGACAGCCAGGTCAGTGGCCACCCAACAGTTTCTCAAGGGTTATGGCTCAGAAGTGGCAAGCCCTGTACTCGGAGCCAACAGTGAGGGCATAGGAACTGCAGGCTCCTGCACTGCCCAAGTCTACCCATCTCTCCTCCATGTAGGAGGCCCACAAAGGCCACATGACAGCGACCCACCTCCAGCTTACAAACAAGTAGAAGGAGCACCACAAGACATGCTAGGCTGTGATTTCAACTACCCCTAGCAATTCAGAAAATAATAATAGAGGAGGAAGATGGCAACTGTTTAATCTGGGGTCCCAATCTATGAAAACAGTGCAGCGTTTCTGCTAGAGACAGCTCAAAACCTACACGGCTGCTATGAGCATTCCCCTCCTGCCAACGCCTCGCATACCAGCCCTTCTTCCTCCCCAGCACAGGAGCCTTCCTGTCCCCATTGGCGGGTCCAAGTACACACCGCTAACCCTCTGCAGAGCAGCTTTGCCTCCGCTGAAGAAAACAATGCTGAGACCAGTCAAATTGAGCTTAGCAATTTCAGAAAATTTACTTCTGCAGAGATTAACAAAAGGAGGTTTCGAAATCTGCACTGCTGAGTATGAACTTTCAGCTTTTTCCAGCTTGGCTGGATATAACTGGTTTGGTTTTAAATGTTTCAGTGAATTAATGAGTTAGGTTGTTAATGCAAAACATTCATTCTGCGTAGTGCCAAGGTCCCCAGTTAGAAGATTAATTTTTGTGACCTTTTGCAAACCTCGCCTAGAAACAACAACCAGAAAATCCACCAGGCAGCATCATCGGCCAGCCAGTGCACAGCCAGGCACAGCAGCTCTGGTCCAACTACCCAGGCACGGGGATGATGGGACAGTCACCCTTCTCTGCCCCCAGCCCAGCCATTTCCTGGGTGCCCAACGCTCCCACCGGGGAGAAGGCTCCATGCGGACACATAGGATGGCTACATACTCTACTGTGGGTTCCAGTGTTTGATGCAGCTCTGCTGAAGAGTAAATGCTCAGTTAAAAAAAAGTAAAAAAAAAAAAAAATCTTTTAAAAAAAAAATCAACACCAAAATAGAAGTAAAATAAC